AGGTATTAAACTGATCAGAACAATACTAAACACACCACTCCTATCTGGTGGCACATTAGCTTGACCGCGCAGTGCCCCAAATTTGAATTAGAGGACCGACCAAGCATCTTCTTCCATCTCCCTGTTACAGAAATCACTGCCATATCCATACAAATTGTACAGAATGTCCAGGATAGTTTTCCAGGGACAAATGTTGTCGCCCGTTGAACGAGGTGACCTTGCTCGGGTCCCAGGTGTACGGTTCCTAAAATGGCTGCCATATACACGCCCACTGATAGGAGACGCGGAAGGTATTAAACTGATCAGAACAATACTAAACACACCACAAATAAGGTTTCTCTCCTGTATGGCTCCTCAAATGATGCTTAAGATTAGAAGCGGCCGAAAAGCATTTCTCACACAGGTATTAAACTGATAAAAATAGTACTAAACACTCCACTCCTATCTGGTGTCACATTAGCTTGACCGCGCAGTGCCCCAAATTTGCAGTAAGAGGACCGACCAAGCCTCTTCTTCCATCTCCCTGTTACAAAAATCAATGCCGTGTACACGACCACTGATAGGAGACGCGGAAGGTATTAAACTGATAAAAATAGTACTAAACACACCACTCCTATCTGGTGTCACATTAGCTTGACCGCGCAGTGCCCCAAATTTGCAGTAAGAGGACCGACCAAGCCTCTTCTTCCATCTCCCTGTTACAAAAATCAATGCCGTGTACACGACCACTGATAGGAGACGCGGAAGGTATTAAACTGATCAGAACAATACTAAACACACCACTCCTATCTGGTGGCACATTAGCTTGACCGCGCAGTGCCCCAAATTTGAATTAAGAGGACCGACCAAGCATCTTCTTCCATCTCCCTGTTACAGAAATCACTGCCATATCCATACAAATTGTACAGAATGTCCAGGATAGTTTTCCAGGGACAAATGTTGTCGCCTGTTGAACGAGGTGACCTTGCTCGGGTCCCAGGTGTACGGTTCCTAAAATGGCTGCCATATACACGTCCACTGATAGGAGACGCGGAAGGTATTAAACTGATCAGAACAATACTAAACACACCACAAATAAGGTTTCTCTCCTGTATGGCTCCTCAAATGATGCTTAAGATTAGAAGCTGCTGAAAAGCATTTCTCACACTCCGAACAAAAATATATTTTTTTAACATTCTCTCCACTTTGAACGAAATGACGTTTGGGAAGAGATTAACATAATTAAACACAGGCAGTAAAAATACAGTTTTTAGCCATACCCTGTAACTTTAAAACTACACATCCCATCTTCATAATTACATATTTGGAATCAGCACACTTAAAACATAAACATAACCAAAAATCAGCCAAATCCATCCAGGGGTTAAAAAGTTAGCTGGAGGTCCCTTTATGACCGACCGCAAGCACATTTTCCTGCCCAAAACAGTTCCATAGATTTGGGCTGTGAGGTCGGTCTATTTCAGGCTGAAAAAACGACTAAGTCCCATCGCGAATGGGACTTAGTCTCTGCAGCTGAAATA